GATCGAATCAACGTGCTCGTTGTTGATCGCAACGTTTTTTCGTCTCACATTTTCCATTGGAATTCGTTTCACGTTTCACGCGCACGAGAACGCGAAATGCGAACGCCATTGTACTTTTTCGACAGCGAATGCAATTCGTTTGCATTTTCGTTGATATCGTTAACCATCGTTCTGCGAGGAAACGCGTACGTTCGTGACGACGTACAAACATTTCCTCTCGAGTCTCCATTCGAGAGCGTATCCGTGCTTTCCAAGAGATTTCCAAGGATGGAAATTCGCACGCACGCACGCACGCACGCACGCACGCACGGCTATATGACGGCAGAAGGCAAACACGGCCGTGTGTTAAGGGTTAAAGTGAAATACCTGGGAGAGGGAGGGTTGGCGATGCAAGAGTCGAGCCTGGAACGAGCTCGGGGTATCGATGGTGTGCTGCCTGGAGAGAGCTGCGTGCGGCGGAGTTACGGAACTCTGACGAAACCAAGGCAACGAGATCTTCCTGCGGGCTTTCTTCACGATTGTCGCAGGCTTTCCCGCCGGTGACGTCATGACAGTTCGTTTGCCTCGTGCTCCTCCGATTCACGTGCACGAACGCGCGCGAGCGATCGCGTTGTTCACGTATCGTGGACAAGGGACAAACAGCAGCTACCAGTTGTTACGAACGGACGCGCCAGCCACATGATGCTTCCTCTCCTCTCCTCTCCTCTCCTCCTCTTCCTCTTCCTCTTCCTCTTCCTCCTCCTCCTCCTCCTCCTCCTTATTCCTTCTCGAAATCTTTCTCGACGAATCGACAACAAACAAACTTCGACGTCGACGATTCACCGTCGAGAAGAATTCACCATCGTCCAGCCATCGAGCCATCGATTCGTTCGACCCGACCGTCGCGCCCGTACTGATCCCGTTTTACCCCTATCGTTTCTACCCTCCTCGCCCACCTCACCTCCGCCTATTTCTTCATCCCACACCCTCCCGCTCCCAGTGCGCGAGCGTTGCGACGACGCGGCGCGCTTGCTCGCTTTTCGATCACTCTCCTCGAACCCCACCCAACCACCACCACCACCCACCACCGTCTCCTCTCCTCTCCTCTCCACCGTCTCCACACTCTCTCGGTGTGCTTCTCGCTTCTCGCTGCTCGCTTCCATCGCTACCAGCCTCCCTTCCCTATCACCATATCGCTATCGACGACGATCGACCGACTCGGCCAAATATCAACGAGAGAACAATCGTTCGTCGCTATTTGCCTCCTACCTCCTTTCCTTCCCCCTTTTATCCACGACGACACGTACTACGCGTTCCTTCCTTCGCTTTCGCTTTCGCTTTCGCCTTCGCCTTCGCCTTCGCCGTCATCTCCTCAAAATCACCAAAATTACGCACTTGTATCCTACTACTCGAACAACGACAAACGCCACAACACCTTTGATTCGTTTACTCCAACTACTCTACTATCAGTTTACTTACATCGATCCGTCCAATTGTCCGTCCAATAAACGTTGGACGAACGTTGTTGCAACAACGTTACGGTACATCAACTTAAACTCTTAAAAGAAAAAGAAATCGAGAGAGACGAATCTTACCTTGTCGGAATCGGTGGTGTTGGTGGAACCAAAGGACGCCAGGGAATTTCTATCTAAATTTTCAACGCTGTCGTCCAAAGATGCACACTCTTCGAGATCTCTGCTGGAACGTTGACTCGAACTCTTTTTCGCGGGGCTCTTGGGCATGCTCAAGCTGAAATACGTTTCCTGTATAACCTCGCGCAGTCTTTTCACCCACAGCTGCTTAGCGTCCATCGAATTGGCTCGAAGGACGACGCGCGTGTCGCTGGTTGGCGCTCGACCTGTCCAAACCGCGAACTTGCACTCGTCACCCTCGATATGCTCGGTCACGCCTAGCTCCGAAGTCATCAAACGACTTTTGTAAATGTACTTCACCTACGAGCAAAGAACAAAAAAAAAAAAAAAAAAAAAAAAAGAAAAAAAAAGAAAGAAATTTTACCTTCACCGCTATGCGGAATGCAAACTCGCACTGGAACGCAGCGCGCTCCAATAGTTGGAAACGCCACGTTCGAAATTCGAAAACTCTGTACGAAAATCAGTTCTTTCCACGCGTGGTACGACGACGTATTTTCTTTGCTTTTACCCACCTTTCCGGCTGAATCTTTCACCTCTTTGCTGAACAGTAGGTACAACTCGAACAGAAATATGTGCCGATCCCTGCCCTTTCTGATCAGCTGCTTAGGATCCCAAACTGTAAAAGAGTCTTGCAGCACCACGTCGCCCAGTGTGTCTATCCTGACGTCGCAACCTTCCAGCATGCTCAAATGTAAGGCATCGTTCGCTTTCTTAGGCACGTTTAGCATCACTTCTAAACCATCTTTTATCTCCCCTTGGCCTTCTTGACAACAAGCCTGAATCATTTGCAAAAGCCAAGATTACATTATCAGATTATCAGGGAAATTGTAGGGAGAAAACGTAGATGGAAAGCACGTCGGAAAAGTACGAAATAAATAGAGAGGCAAAGAGGCAAAGAGACAAAGAGACAAAG